ATAGATATGGTAGGACTTGGTTTTGTGAGCCTAAATGATTGGATAATGTATTACTCTGCTTTTCTGTAATTGCTCGTTGTTTAGACTTTAGTCTGGAGAAGCTATAGGATGAATTTCATCACTGCTTAAATAAGAGTTAAATGAGTAACAGGAAACAGCTTGACTTTTTCAGAGGTACTGAGCAGACTGAAATAATTACAAGTCCAAGTGAATTAGCAGAAGCTGTCAGTGTTTGGAACTTGTGAAAGTCGAACCCATAGTGCCCTTTAGTTTACATGGAAAGATAGCTATACTTGAAATATTCTTCTGAACTACAGTTCCTGAAAAGACCTATGTGTAGTTTAAAAACATAGTTTAAAGGACAACAGATGATATGGGGAAGGAGAAGGAAAGGTGAGATAGACAGGGAATATCCTTAAGATCATCTTCTCACATCATATTTCCAAGCTTAACAAACTTGTATAATGCTAACAGGTGCAAAATGGGGGTACGTTTAGCACTTTATGCAAAACTGGGTAGTTTTGCGCACTTACTGATTTACAGCTGCACATGTCATTTTAGTTAATTCTTAGGTAGATTAGACTTATCTTTTGAATGCCAGCAATTCTGTAGTTTGTGGTCTTTTTATAACTTGATTACTTAAGTACATTTAGGATGCTGTAGATAAGTGCAACTAACACTTAACAATATAAGCAGGTGCCTTTCTGTGTCTTACAGGGCTGCGAGGTTATGTCTGTTTTTTTGGTATTGTTTTTTTTTCCCCCTTCCGCTGAGAAGATGTAACATGATTTAAGTCAGTTTTTGGTTAAACTTGTGGTAAATAAAACTTGTAGCAATTCTGGTGATAGACCTCAGGGATCTGAGCAGCCCATCAACTGTGTAATATAAGTCATGCTGTCGTGGTGGCACGTATGACAGATTATTCAGGCCCTGGTTTGGTTTTGCTCTGCATTTCTGTAAGAAAATATATATATATTTAGATTTTGTATATGTGTATATTTCTTATCATGTGGATTCTAAATTTGGCAGTGTAGTATTTTATTGCTAAAGTTAATACTAAAATATTTACATACAAACAGCTTTTTCTGAAAGTCTAGCTCATTTACTCAGCCATGTTATAACCTAGTGTCCATGGCATGACTGTTTGCACAGATTAATTTTGGAATGTCATTCAAGGCAGGGACTTGTCAAAATAACCTTTTGAGGTTCCTGTTGGTTCCATTTTCTGTAATTTTGAGAAGTAGGCTGATTTTAGTTTCCTACCGTGGATTTTGGCATGACAGATCCACTTTTTGTAGATAGCTTTTTATTACTTGGCATGGGTAGAGATGGTGTTAATTTTCTGTAAAGGAGAATGATGTGTTGTCCCTGCTATCCTCAAATCTCAGATGCCAATCCTTAAATTTTCTCCCAGGTATGACAGTCACCTGCAAGTCTACTGCAGTGCTTTTAAACGTTTTCTTAAGGGTCTGCTGCAGTGTTTTCTTTTTATTGTTACAGCCATAGCAGGTTTGCTGCTGGTGGGCACTTAATGGCCTGTTAACATAGACTGCCATTTGAAGTAGTCTTCTGTAGATTTCTTTGGGCCAGGGTTTGAATTTTATGGATAAAAATGCAGCTGGTCTGTATTGGCATTGCAATTGTAGGCATTTATAAGCAAAATGTAAAGCCTTGGACAGATGGAATGATACTGATAACATGGTGCTTGTAGCATCTCCGTGGAAGGTAAATGCTTTAGTAAGAAGTTGCAACGTTCCATATGGGATCAGAAGGCCAAAGTTTGTTTTACTTCACTCAAAGACATCATTTCATGCAAGATTACAGGAAGCCTGCTCTCTCCCAAATGAGTATAGTGCAAAAATACTGTCCTCTAATCAAAATGGCAATTTGTGATTTAGCATTTATAAGGAGCTGTTTCCTAGGGTGGCAGTCCTCAGAAAGGGCGTGGTTCCTTGCTTCTGCCCCACAAATGTTTGCAATTCTCATCTGCTTCCCTGAATAGAGGAAACGCCCAAGCAGGAAAAGTCTGTCTGTGTGTTACAGTATGTAAGATGTTAGAGGAAACAGGCTTTTGTATTTGCATCTTGCCCCTCCTCAAAAATTAGAATAACCTGGACACTGAGTCGAATCTCTAAATGTTATTCTCCAGTTGAGCATCCTCCTTGAGCATTTGGTGCCACATCTTGTGCTTACTCATAATGTTTTTTTAATTATTAACATGGAAATAATATTGTCATTGCTTTACAAATGAGAATCCTGCGTGAAAGAGCTGGGAAAGCCCTTCTTTCAGAATTCTAGTTTCTGTTTCAAGTTCATGTAGATCCTGTTTCTAGAGTTGGATTCCTTTCATGCTTCCAAGGCTAGAAGACATCTGAGTAGAAGTTTAGGCTCTAGAAAGCTCGTGGTCAGTAAGTTGCTTTATGCAATGATACGTACTTAAGGCTGTAACTTCTGACAAATGTAACTTGCTAATTAAGTGGTGACAGGCTGAATAAACTCTCCCCTTTGCTGAAATATGGATGGGACTAGGAATGCTGGCAGTATTATTCATATTACTTACTGTTTGCATGTAAGTGTGTGTGTTACTGCAGATACTGTCTTAAGTGATAAATCATCCAGTGTTTTCCTAGCTATTTTTTTATCTAGTACCCTGCTGTAGTGTCCCCTCTTTCTCCCCTCAGCTTGTTTTTAATCTTTGAATTCATCCTGAAACTGCTTCACTATTGCTATCTTAGATTTTCTTTTCCTTGCTGTTCATTGTCAGCTGATGCTTGACAGGGCACAATGGCATAATTAGCCTTCATCCAAATGATACATATTTCTCTCTGCAAGTTAAATTTAGTTTAGTCTGGTTTTGAAATGTTACGCTATCTTAAAATGTGTACAGAGAATTTTCAAACATTTTTTTGCCTTAGCAACTGCAAAGGTCATCTCTCTAGCTTTTTCCAGTAAACTTATTGGAAAAAAGTTAAAACATCAAAATTTGATTAAACAACCTTTTTGATTTCGGAATTTCAATTATATATTCACATCAAATAGTCTCACAAAGTGTTTCCTGAGAATTGACTGACTGCTACCAACAGATGCTAGTTAAAGAAAAACTTACGTAGGGATTAAAGGTAGTTTACAATAGAGTTTATATTTCTTGCAAAGTTTTGGAGTATTTCTGAAATGTATCTTAACTGACTCGGACTTCTTAGCAAGAGCCTACTGTACATGTTAAAATACGCAGTTTGAGATGAGGTTTAAATTGATGGCCTCAGTTGCATATAAACTTAGGTTAAACTCTGATTACAAGGTAATTGCCAATATTAGCTACTTAATGCTAATTGCTTAGCTATGTATAAGTAACTGAATATTATCCAAGATACTTTTTGAAGATTATAATGAATTTTAAAATGAATACAAGATAATCTGGTTAAGCAGAACAGTGGAGTAAGTGCTAGATGTATTTAACACATTGTTAATAACAAAAAAATGCATTTTATTTTGGTGTTGGCTTTATTAATGGGAAGTTGGTATTTTAGAGTATTTTTCTACAAAAACACGTGTGTGCAAAGGCAATACTTCAACGTTTTTCAAGAGCTCATATTTTTAAATTCTACAGACCAGAGACTGTCTACATTGAGACTGAAGTTAGTAGCTTTAAAAAATGCAATGTAAGCTTTACTTTTTATATTGTAATAATACCTTGCTGTCAACTTGTTTACATATTTGTAGGAGGGAAAATGTCATTATGCATTGACTTATCTTGATGCTGTCTTTAATAAATGCTGCTTTGAGCAGGATGCAGTGGATATTTTCTTACCTGAATTATGATTTACAAACCAGTCACTCTGTAATTTGTATTTTATTATTATGATTCCTGTACTGAAACAGCTTATCTAAACTTCGAGGAGACTTTTAAAACTGTTTGAAGTATGACTAAACTGTCCTTGAGGTTTTGCCATGGAGCCTGATGCTGTTTTAGACTTAAATTGAATTTACGCTGCTAAAGGCAACTTCGAAATGCAGTAGCATTAAATATTTTCATTATATGTTCTTCTCAGAGAAAAGTCAAAATCAGATCCTTAATCTCCCAAAAGAGTATGGCTTCGTAGGGAAGTGCTGGATTTTTTTTTAATTAAAACTTCTAAAACTTTTTCTATGCTAGCCTTTTTTTTTTTTTTTATGCAGCATTATTGTGCGTGTGCCAAAAAATAGACTTTGTTTTGTGTTTCCTAGTGAACGGAGTTCTCTGGTACACTGGAGGAGGTAGTGAATGGGAGAACTTGGGCCTTTCCTCGATTAAATCTCACTTCTAGTAAGCTGTTAACATCCGTAGCAAAGCCCAAACAAAACACTCGGTAACTTAGTTTTCTGGACCCTTTGTGCAAGGATTCATTAACTACTATTTATAGTTACCGTGTTCTGTGCCTTATGAAAGTATATCCTAGAAACACAGGCTATCTGTAAGGGATCCTGCAGTGACTCAGTTCCCAATGTCCGAACAGTTCATGCAGCATAAACCCCCCACCTACTGAAGAAATTGTGGCCGTTGGAAAACAGTGCTGATTTTTTCTTTTATTTGTTCAACAGATGTTTCACGCATAGCAGGAACATTCATGGAAGCAGCCTAAAAGCTGTCTTCCAGCTGCTTACCATGATGCTGGTGAGACCTGCTCAAAACATGATAATGTAGTAATGCTAAAATTCTGCTGTACTTCTGTCCTAGGCTGAAGTGTTCAAGGAGAAGCAGATGCAGTGATGGTGAGAGCTGTTTGGGGGTCTTTTATGCGAGTGACCTTTAAGCATTCTTTATTTTCCACGGTAAGGTGGGAACACATGACTGAGCAGGAGAAGAAACCTAACAGGTCCTGTAAAATCAGTAGACTTCCACAATTATTTTCATGCTTTCTGTTCTGTTCAGGAGCAAAACGGGAGCCTGCCATGATTAAGTCTACTTGTGTTGGCCAAGGTTCAGCAACAGGCTGCTCTGTTTGAATTAAGGTAGGAATCATGAAAGCAGATGGAGTAGAGAGACTAATGACTTGGGATAAAACCTAGGATTTCACTACTGCCTGCTAATGTTTGGTGCCAAAATGGGTGAGGAAGCTCAGAAATGGTTTAGGAAGTCCCTGGTATCCTGCTGTCAGAGTTCCAAAGTAAGCAGCACTTTGACCCTCACTTAATGCTTCCTGGCCAACATAACCACAGTGTTGCATGGCACACATGGGCAAACCCCATTAATTTTAATTTTCCTGCACTAAGAAAACCAAGGGGAGATCATCCTAGCTTATTGCCTCAAAGGAAAAGGCCTTTTTCATGGGGTTGAGGAGAGAGGCTTAATAAAGCAACAAAACACCTGTATGAAGGTAGTGTAGTAGTAAAACTGCATTTTCAAACTTAATGCTAGGGAAAATGCAGGCATAACCATCCGTATTATAGTCCAGACGGAAATTATTGCACCAAAGAAGGCCACCTAACATGCTTTTGTGTCAACTCCTTTTCCCAGATCCAACTAAAAAGTAGTAGTGTCTATCCTTAATGCTGGAACAGCCAACTTCAGTAGCCAGAGCTTCCTCTGTTGCCATAGGGTTGGTCCAGGGACCTTTTAGGTGCCAGTGTGGGAACGGGATGAAAGCTCTAAGGGTACGAATGTTTTCGGTAGGGCTGAAGCAAGCAGAGCTGACGGGCAGGTGCCCGCTTCCCAGGTCGGGCCCGAGCAAAACTGCCCCTTGGTGGCAGCTGGACCGAATACTGGTGGAAAAATCCCGCTTCTCTCAAAATCGCGGAGGAGGGAGGGCTCCCCTTCCCCTGAAAACGCCCGAGGAGGTCCCGCCGGAGGCAGGTGGCGGCCCCATCCCGTCAGGGAGGCGAGGGGCCGGGCCGGGCGGGGCGAGGCGGGGCCGGCAGCGCGGCGCTGTGGCGGCCGCGGCCCGCGGGGCCATGGCGGCGGGGCTGGAGGAGGCCTTCGGGGCGGCGGGGGAGTTCGGCGGCGGGCAGCGGCGCCTCACCGCCTTCCTCGTGCTGCTGCAGGTGGGTGAGCCGCCCGGGGCCTCTCGCTCTTCCCCGCGCTCGGCCCCTGCCCCCGGCCGCCCGCGGCTGCCTCCCCTCGCTCTGCGCCTCAGCCGCGTCCCGAGCGCTGCCTGCGGCTGTGCTGCGTGGAAGGAAGCGCCTTGCCGCCGCGGGAAGCGGCTTTTTCTTAATTAGCCATCGGTGAAAGTGGTATTTCACGGTGCTGTCCTTAAGCAACGCCCCCGCCCCCGTATGCAAACGTGGATCTGTCGCTCCTAGCCCCTCTGTGAAAGGCGTCCTCCTGTCAGCGCGGTGCTGCAGTGGGGGTTAAAGCACTGCTGGGGGGAAGGAAGCGGTGCTGCTAGGTTGTGGGTTTGCGTCTGGAACCTGTTTCTCCGAGTACACTCAAGGTAAGCGCCTGATAAAACAGCTCTGGAGCCCTCAGTGCAAGCCTGCCACCCCAAGATGCTCTCTCTACATGCAGAACTGTGCCGCTGATGGTAACGTGCCAAAAATGATCACCGGGACCTAAGGGTGTCGGTTTAAGTTAAAAGAAAAAAATCACACAAGTTGGAAGACGTTCACAACATGAAAGCCATAGGATGCGTGAATGTGCTTACCAGGATTTCCCTATGAGAATCTTTTTTTATTCCTGAACTTCTAGTTTTCCCAGTGATCAGGTAAGGGTTTCAGTCGCTGCAATGGAAAGAACTACCAAAAGTTCAGAAACAAATGCACAAAATCTCCCTTACATTTCTAGTACTCACTGAAGTACTCATTGACTTGTCACTGCAGGTTGTGTTATTTGAGTAAAGTAAGTAAAAAGATTTTTTTAAAAACAAACAAACAAACAAACAAACAAACTTGGCCTTAGGTTTAAATCTTAGCTTAGAAACTATGCTGAAGTTCTTAATGCCTTCCTTTCTTATCCCTGGCTAAAAAACAGCAAGAAAAAGATAGAACAACTCTGGAACAGATGAAGCAAGATGAAGCAGTCACTGAAGGTGCATTGGTAACTTTGGTGTGGTACCTGTTGCTTCCAGCTGCCCTGATGATCATATCATGAGGTTTTAAATACAGTAGACTGATAACACTTGGTTTGCACTGCTGAATGAAGGGAAGTTGTGCATTGTTAATTTAATGAAAAGTTTACAGTATGTTAACAGAAAGGGTGGTTTCTCTTTGGGATTGTTCAGGGTAAGTGATGTGTATCTTGTTTTAAGGTATACGTGGCTTGTCAGTCAATGCTTATCGTGCTGGTGGGAGCCATGCCTGAGTATCGTATAGACCAGGAAGGAATTCCAGCGAGCAAAGCTGAGCTTGCCAAGCATATCCATTTCACGAGCAACTTCACATCTATCGTAACCGAGGCAAGTACTTCCATCGCGCCTGTTTATTCTTTCCTTGGGATTTAGGCCACCAGTGCTTGAAAAAGTTGAGCAGGGCTTAGCGTAATGTTTTTCTTGTGCTATTAGAACAAGAAAAACATTACGCTAAGCTGGAACCTACCCATCTGGATCTTCTAATTTATTCTTATTTTTTTTCAACTGAAAGTATATTATTAAATTATTAGTTGAGTTTTTGTAGTGTAAAACCAATACGCTTAGTAGATTCATTAAACTTTATTTCTTTTGTTTTCAATTTTCTTCATCTTCACGTGTTTTTGAAAGTCATTGCTAGTGAGAATAATCATTTAACTACTGTTTATAACTCCGGAATTTAGCATGAGCTCCTCCTAATGTTTTTTTTCCGCCAAGAAAAGCTTCAATTTGTCATGTCTGTGCAATCTGTGATATGTATTGAAGCTTTCATCTGGCGTTGTTGAATTAGTTTCTCAGAGAAGATGCACCTTAAAGATTAAAACAAGCATGAAAGGGCAGTATACGCACCACATGTCTGGGTATTCTCATGGATGGTGAGAGTGGGAGCTGGAACAGATGGAAGTTTGCTGAGTGGGACAGAAGCTTGACCCTTCATCCTCATGCCTTTTGAATTCCACGCAGAAGGCTGCGTTTGCTTTTTGCTAGTCCCTGGGCTATAATCAGTCAGGAAAGTGCGAGTGACCTAAGCATCGCTGCCAGTGCCAGAAAAAAGATCATGTGGGTGGCTTGGCTTCTAGCGTAAACTGTCAGAATTATGCTGGCTGGGCTCTTGGAGCGGCTGTCAGTAACTTGCTAAGGCAGGATAGCTCTTGGCGTGGCTGGTGCCCATTTTTTGCTTCCTTCCCATTATCACAAATGTGATTCTGTAGCGTTGGAAAAATGTAATGACTAAGAAATAAGAAGGAATGTTACAATATTGGGTCATATCCTCCGTCAGAAACAGATTTTTTTGATTAGCGTGATTTCCAAAATTACCCTTCAATTTGAGACTGTCAGCAGGATGCACGATATGGAGTAATGCTTAATTTACAGTCAGAAAAAAAAGTAAATTTAATCTAATACTGTATTTTAAACGTAGGAGTCAGTGTGCCTGTTTCCAAAAAATGTAGTGATTTTGAAGACTTACTAAAAGCAAGCAAACAAACAAAACTGTTCCCATTCATTTTAGTAACTAAGTTTTTTTATTACATTGTTAACAAATGTGTATATATATTTTCATCTTAGGTGCTGGCCAACATTTTGCTGGATGTTAACAGTCTAGGAAGTAAATCAAACTGCTGTATGGATTTTAAAGAGCTAGAGGATGTCTGTTATGGTGATAACAAAGTTGGCAATGTTATTGTTGGCAAGCTGCAGTTAATTTTGACAAATATTTAACCAGTTTCTTTTATGCCAATAAAGTAGATGGATGCATTCTTTTAAAAGATACATTCTTCACAGATTATATCAGACTTGGTAAACTATGTGCATCTCCCAGTCACATACTAAGCAGCAAAAGTAACAGTTTGCAAATCAATCTTTTCTCTTGTCATCTTCTGAGAGGAAGCTGCTTTTATAAAATTTATTTCCTATATTTTGCTGACGTTACGGAGTTGAAATCATAAATACTTTCAGTTGTATTCTGGCTTGGCAGCAGCACTGTTCTGCTCTGAAACTCAACAAAACTTCAGAGGAGCTCGTAAGATCTGGTTCAAGAAATAATCATTATAATCAGTCTCGGTGTAACTAAGATTTTGTAAATAACAGCTCAGGGTTTGTTTTTGAAAGTACAGTTGTTTGATTGCCATCAGTTCAGTCCCCCTGCTGTATTTAACAAGTGATACTTAGGAAGGTGAGTTAAGGAAAATGTTTTACATGGGTGTAGAAATCATCCTTGAATTTTGAGAAGTTGAATTTTACAACCATATCTAGGACCTGAAAGGCTGTTTTCTGTCTCATATCCGTCTGAAACACTGCAGATGAGAACTGGGAGTTTGAAATTTGTATGCTGTGGCGTGCTAGCACAGAGGAGGAGGACTCAAGCCAGCAGTGCTCTGTGTCTTGGAGAGGACGCGCTGTGATATTTTTATCCCAGATGAAATTTCCTGAGGATTTGTGCCCAGGAATATTTTATTGCTTAAACCTCCTCAGAAAGTTAAGAAAACGTAAGTTTTGTGAGTTACATCTTTATCTGCCATAATAGGGTGGAATCTAATACTATACCATAGAAGGTACAGTAGTAGGAAAGTAGCTGCAAGTGCTGCTGCGCAGTTTTACCATCCCAGAGTATCCAAAAATACTCCAAAACTCTGAAGTGTTGAAACTGGGTACATTCGACTAAAGTGAATGCTGTTAAATCTCGTCCTACTCCTGCAGGCTGCTGTCTTGCAGGCTGCTGGACAGGCAGGGCACAGGTTACCAGAGTGGTGGGACAGATAGAGACACATATTATCTCTACGCTGCTGCTATGAAAGTCAGGATTGATGAATGAAAGCACAGGTTTCTTCAGATTGCTATAATTACAAGTTTCTGAAAATTCCTAATACTCTGTGGGGATCTGTATTAATTCAAGGTTGAGGTTGTGGTATGCTGTGTAGGATTCTGGTCATATGCCTCTTCCCTGATCCCTGTCCCCCCTTTTAATCCTTTAATTTCTTAAAAACCAACCAAGTAAACAAAAAAAAAACCAACTAAGTGGTATTAGGATCCTTCTTCGTTTAATGAAAGGAAATGCTGCAGATATCATTTAAAAAGTCAGCACAGCACTGTCTTGGCTTGAATACTCATCCCCTTTCCCGGTAAGTTTCCTTGCACATTACATATAATTATTAAATATTCATTTCTGTAAGGCTTTGCATTGAATTAGTTAAATTCTGTTCCTGGAACATGACTTGGGATATTCTGATCACACTTCCTTCCCAGCTTCATGATGTGAGCAATATTTGTAAATCCCAGCAGCACATTTCTGTTGTTGCTGATTCTCCTTGTGTGTAGCAGGGGGGCTGCACAAGCCAGCTGCGTGCCTTGCCCCCACCAGGACATATTTTGCTTCCTACTATTTCCCACCACTGTCAGTTCATGCTGTTCTTTTCTGTAGAACAGATTACTTTTGCTTATGCTACCTCAGTTTAGCTTTTGCATGAGGTAGAAAGTACATTTTATAAAGAAACCTGTCATTTGTTTCTAACTCTTCTTTGTTAGGTCATAAATGTGTGCACACAATAAAATACTGAGCAGTATCCATGAGCAGTTAATAAGTATTTCTTAAAGTTCTTATAAAACAAGTCGTCTTTAGGACATCTTTCCATAATCCTTTCCTGCTTCTCTTTAACACGTGTACAGTACAGGGCAACAGCATCAGGAATTATGGCTGCACAGCAGTAGCCGTCTCAGTACTAAAAGCATGAGCATGCTTCATTCTTGTTAATGAATAATTTTTATTACTTGTTCATTGAAATAACTAAGCTTACGTAGAAATGTCTGAGCAGTTTAAAAATTGAAAAATTCCTAATTTGAACTTGTTACTTTGTCAAACAGGAATGGAGGTGAAAGTAATTACTTTTCCAAGAAATATCATGATAATCTAAGCTTTTGACTTGGTGAATTTAGAGGGAGATGTCTGTTAGGGAGGAAAAAATACTAATGCTGGCCTGTACAGTAAACCTGGAACAAAAATTGAATTGGATGTAAAGAAAGCGATGGGAAATGGCACCAGAAGAATTTCGGTAGTTGTCCTTGTTTTGGAGAAAGCCAACAACTTGCTGTTAATACTTAAGACAATAAGAAAATTCTTTTATTACAATTATTATTATTGTTTCTGATAGTGGTATCTAATTGAACAAGAAGCCTACAAAGTGAGCCTTGCATCATCCCTATTTTTTGCTGGATTGCTTATTGGAAACATCACGTTTGGCCCTTTGTCAGATAAACTGGGCAGGAAACCAGTGTATATTTCAGGTAAGACAGTTGAAAGTGTTCTCATGTTCTGCATGGATAACAACATTGCTGGTTTTGCCCTGCCTGTGGGCCACCCTGCCATGGCACTGATACAGAGTCCATGGTCTGGTTAAGTACTCCATCTGGAGTAAAGCAGCACTAAAATTGGTTGATAGGAGTATGCTCAGCAGCACAGTGGGCTCTGGAGTATCAGTGACAGATGAAAAATAACTGATTTTCACAATGACTTTGCTATTTGAGTGCAGTGCTGCATGCATTGCCTTGCCATTTTGCACCCCAATAAAAAATAATCACTTTTTTGGGGAGAATCTGAATTTCTTTAGAGTGGGTAACTTAGGTCCTGCTATTTTGTTTTCCAGCTGCACTTGCAACAGCTGGAAAGGGGTCATTTTTAAAATTTCAACATTGTCTCAAGGAAACAACATCTTTGTTATTGTAGACCTAAAGCGTAAGACTTGGAAATGATCGTAGTTTTCCCATAGTATGATTTCAGAAAGCCAGATGTGACAGATGAGTACTGTAGACTAATGGCAGTTACTGTGCTCCATGCCTGTATTCTGAGATCAGGCTGCATAGCATAAGTACTAATGTTATTTTATTCTCTCTGCAGGTCTATTTTTTGATGTCCTTTTTGGGTATGTTACAGCATTAGCTCCAAATTATGGCGTATTTGCAGTTTCACGTTTCTTTGTTGGAATTGTGAATGGTGGAATGGCTCTTGTGTCTTTTGTCCTAACACAGGAATATGTAGGAAAATCATTTTGGTCATTTACAGGTGGGATTTGGGAATGTTTAATCATTATTACTGTGCCAAGTGTTGTTCTGACTATCAATACCTTACTTGCTACAAATTAAAAAATTTAAATGTCGAGTTAGTTAGGATGTCAAATGAGCATGGTGCTGATTCATCGAAGATCTAATTTTTGTGCTTAAATAAGAAATATAGGATTGGGTTTGTTTGATAAGTAGCAAAAATAGGGTTTTTAAGTGGTGTTCTGGTCTGTCCTAACTGAAACCAGGACAAGCGGGTACACTGATTCCAAAAATTTCCCATATTTGTGCATTTCATTGCACTGAAGAAAAAAAAAAAGGGGGGGGGCAGATCCTGCCAGTTCTGAATGGTGCTGTGTACAGTATCTTGGGAAAATATTCTTCAAAGTGTTCTTTGGAATTTATCTGCACTAGACAATGATTGTTTTTTACCTCTATTGGATGTGCTGACCCTCCAGTATTTTTATATGTCCTTTTTCTATGCCACTGCCAAGACTTAAAGTAAATTTAACACCTGTGTGTTGTGCTGTTGTAAACCTGAAGTAGCTCAGACTGAAAAACCTTTTCAGCTAGCGCAGCATGGGGAAAAACTCGGTCCAAGTGCTGACTCGCTGTGACCGTGAGCGTATTCCTCTCTGTTCTCCAGTTACCTCATTCTGCTATTTTCTCATTTCTCCTCTGGACTCTTGGGGATGTAGGAGGCAGTTGTGGTTTGTCGATAGCTTTCCGTTGTTTCAGTTGCGTTTTTTCAAGTACTGAGTTTTCTTCTCCCACATTCACTTTTTTGACTCACGTCATCTCTCTCCCGCCCCTTCTTCCCCCTTGCCCTTGTCTCTATCTCGGCTCTTCCCAGCCTCTCTCCCTGCAGGGCCAGCCTCCTGAAGGACCGATGAGACAGCCTGCTTCCTGCCGCTTGTCACTTTAGGTGCTTTATTCTAGTTCGGCTCAGCTCTTGGCAAAGAGGTGCTGCACAACTGATCAGGGGCCGAAGGAGAGGAAGCTGCTGAATGCTGCTCAGCAGTGTTAAAGAAGCTCTCCTAGGTGCTGCCTGTGAACTAGGCTGTGTGCGATAGCTGAGAGCTTCGGGGTTAGTACGAGACCTCCTGTGTTAGCCTGCAGAAGGTTTGCTGGTAGGCTTTTGGAATGGAAGTTGACCCTGTGTTTTCAAAGTTTTTATTTACACTTGTTCATCAGAAGCTTGCTGTAGCATACCTCTGGTTTTCAGCTGTTCATATACTGACCCCACTCCTTGTGTTTTCGTAGCTTTCTTGCAATTTCTGTTCCAGCCTGCCACCTCTATTCAAGATACCTTAAAGACCCAAATAAATCACTTGCAATGCTTCCCCTTCCTGTCTTTGGGTTTTCTCTTTGGTCTGTAGGTTTCTGTTCAGTTCTTGATCTGTTCTATGCACCGCCCTTTATTTTTGAAAGGAAACCAACCCTGCTCACCTTCCCCCACTCACCCAGTTACACAAAGGCATTCATCATTAGGATTGCACAATACACTTAAGCCAGCTGGTTCATAGAGTGCCATAAAGATACTGTAACGATTTTAGTGCTATTTTATTTAGATCTATCAAGGGATCTATAGTGATTTAAGGTTTCTACTTAAGTTTGGTTTTGTTTTTTGTGTGTCTGTAGTCACTTTTTTGGTCTTGTATTTGCAGGTTCGTTAACTAATTTGACATTTGCAGTTGGCATTGCTGTTTATGCTTTACTGGGTTACTGTGTAAGAGAGTGGCGTCACCTGGCATTGGTATCAAATACTCCAGGAGTCATCTTCCTTCTTCTTTCGTTGTAAGTAGTTCACGTGCATTGTAATGATAAAAAATATGCATTGATTTAACGATTATTTTTCTTATCATAGTTCTGAAGAGTGGTATAAACAAGGATGATATTTTTCTGTATGTTTTTATGAACCAAGCAGAAGAAAATCATGTAGTGAAGGAGGAAGCATTTTTAAACAAAGCAGAAGGTCAGGACTACCCGGAAGAAAAGCTTGAATTTCTGTTTGCTGTTACAGTTGTGGCAGCCAGCATTGCAAAGAGCAGCTGTATGCCAGCTGTCTAATAAAGCTTGATTACAAATCTGCTTGGGGAAGGAAAGGCCTGCCAGAGGCCGTGAGCTGGAGCATCAGCCAGGAACACAGCCTCCTGCCAAAGATGGGTTTCGGTGCTTGAGAAGTTTTGGAATTGCTCCTAGAGGAGGGGTTTTAGAATTAATTTTTAAGACAGGCATGTGTGCAAAGGGAAATAAGTGAGAGCACTTGGAATTGTGTTTCTAGTGTGAGATGTCGTGTATCTGCATGTTTTTGAGGTGCCTTGTGTCTGTTTCTGTCACTATTGCATTTGTGTTCTCCTATTTAGAAATCCTCCATAGACACTGTTGTAAAAAAGGTTATGAAATATAGCAGTATTTAAAAAACTGAAAGTGCTAGCACTGTGTTGTTAGAAAATATGCTTTTAAAATACCAAATGATATCCTATGTATACTTCTGATAGTTAGAGCTTCAGAAAAAATAAAAGCATTATTAGTATAGTAGGTTCTCTAAACCTTGTCTCAACATGACTGAGTGCTTTGACAAGCATTTCCAACCATCTTTCTATAAAGTTAACCATATATTATTATCAGAGTATGTGGAATTTATTAGGCAGAACAGTGTAAATAAAATGTATTTTTCTGAATTTTTCATTGGTACCATTTCTTTTGTTTTGATTATTGATTTGCAAAACAGGGAACTTGGTTTTAGTGCTTTGCTCGTAGGAACAAACTTGTCATCATTGATTTTCTTTCCTGTTAGTATGCTGCCAGAATCCCCACGATGGCTGTATTCCCAAGGGAAAACTGCAGAAGCTGAAGATGTGATGCAATATATTGCCCTTGGTAATGGAAAAGAAAGATTAAATCTAAAATTAAAACCAAGTGCAGGAACTTCACGAAAGGATGAATCGCCACCTGGTATACTAAACTTAGTAAAACACCCAGTCCTTCGGTGGCGAACCATCGTTCTTATGTACATCTGGTATGTAATAACAAGACACTGAGATGCTGTGAATGAGTCAGACATGAGGAAACTGTTAAGATTTTCATCATTTTCTCTTAAAAATGCTGTCCTCAAACTAATCATAAATCTGTCGGTTAATGAGGGCAGACAGTAAACATCTAAAATGGTGTGTTGTAAAGCTGATGTTTCATTATTATTGCTGTTGCAGTTTCAGTATGTTATTTAGAATCTGCCGCAAAGCCTGTGAAGAAATAATCTGGTGAAAACATAATATTTACTTTCAGTGAAATGAGAAGCCAAAGCAGAAATTGAGAGGATATATATTTGAGCCAGTTTTAGGAAGCACTATGTGGAATAGAGATCTGGAGTAAGAGTTGGAATAAGTGTAGGAAATGAGATGTAAGAACACGTGGTTCAGTGCAGGAAAAGTGGGGGCAATATGAAATGCAGATAGCATATTAGGTGCTTTTTTTGCTTTTGCAACCTGGGGAAAAAAATGATGTCAGCACAGAAAGATCAGCTAACTAATCTAGAAAAAAAAAAACAAAGATGATAGAAAATTCCAGAAGTTATGCTGTGTATGTGTATGAGCCTTTTTTTTTTTTTTCTTTCACATAGTTTACTTAAATAGGAGCTATTCTCTTTGTCTTATTTCTCCTTTTGGGCAAAATAAGAGCCTCTTCTTAACGCATTAACTGAAAATAGCTAATCTATAACTTGGCATAATTTGCCTTTTAAATCTTGACCTTTAAAGATTAGATATGCTTGCAATCTAACTTTTATGGTTATTTTTAGGTATGTCTGCAGTTTGGTGTACTATGGGCTAACTTTAAATGCTGGTGAATTAGGAGGAAATCTTTATTTAAATGTGGCTCTTTATGGCCTTGTGGAAGTTCCAGCTTTTCCACTCTGCATGTTCTTTATTGAGAAGCCTTGGTAAGAAAAACTTACTTCCTGGTTTTCTGCATATATTTGTAGACAGCCTAGAAAAACTTTGATGTTTTTCTGGGGAAGATACTTCACTGTTCTTCTAAACCAGTTGATTCTTTATGGATTAAGTCAGCTGCAGGGGGTTCTGGAGTTGATGTTGAAATGGGAATTTAATTTTCTACCTTTGCCACTCTTTAGTTTTGTTCGTAGTTTGAATTATTCAAGGCATGGGATTTTCCATGATTCGTGTTATTAAAAATAACAAGTTTGGTCTTCATGAAAAAAATATGCGTAGTTCAGTTATTTAAGTATCTATAGCTTGTATATGCGTATTACTTATTCTGTTCAGAGTGACTTTGGTGTACTACAAAGTCTACAAACTACAACTGAAAACAGTTTTTAGTGTTGTTCATTTTCACTTAAATTTTTCAAAGAGACCTTTGAAGGGTGAGCTGTTCAGTTACCACGAAGGCATGGATAGTTGACGCCCATGTCTTTTCATACTTTACAGTGTTTGCAGGCCATCCTTTGTTTGGGCACTTTTTTTCTTCCAAAGGTTGGATAGTCAGTGTCAGGGCACAGAGCTACTCGGGGTTTCATCTAACCTTCTGTTTGAGCGTTGTGTAATGGTGTCTTGGTCTCATTGAGATCAGTGGAAAAATGACTTTCTTCATCAAGGTGAGGATATCACATTTACAATTTGTTTGGCAGTAAAAGAAGCTGTAGACTCTGCCAAGCAATAAATAAATAAATAAAAACCAAAACACCAACCTTCACCCGAAACCTAGAAAACTTAAGGACATGCATTTAAACCACAAACAGCACAAATATTTTCCTACATGTTAATTTCTTCGTATTTTGAAATTTTTAGTTTACCTGGCAAACTTTTTTTTTTTTTTTGTGATTCTTGAAATAAGGAATATGTAGTTTTATGCACTTAATGGAAAAAAAAAAAAAGGTGGCAAGCCAGCTGCTCTGTTTTTGTTCAGCTATAGTGAACAGTTCCTTTAGGTACAGCTGTCTTGTTGCAAAAATATTTAGAAGATTTTAAAAATAAATATTTAGTCGCTTATAGAGTAACTGCAGTTCTTCTAATTAGGGATAGTGGTTAGAAGTAGCTGTGAGAATTAATGAAATAACGAGCGTAAATAGTTCTTGTACATGCCTGCAAACTAATGCTAAGGATGTATTTATAGGCCTATGAAGGTAATTATGAAACATTTAAGTGTGGCAGATGGAGTGATGGGTTGGTGTCTTTCTATCCTGTCTACTACTTTTTTATTTTATAGCTCTAGGTAGTAGAAACAACCTTTACTTATTTCTGCATGTATACTGTTAAATGAAAAAGCTTACAAAGTAGTTCTTCTTTGTTGTAACTGCATATATTCATGTCAACTTGTAAAAATACGGATTAAGGAGCACAAGAAGTACTTTTTAAATTATTATGATGTTGGTGTGTATGCACTGTGATACCTTTTAGTGGCAAAAACAAAGTCTGTGAATTCTTGTTGCTGAAGTAGATGGGCTCTAAAAAATAAAAAATCTAGAAGTAGGAAAGCATTTGTGGGAGGCCTTTGGTACACAGAGCTGGAAAAACAGTGTAGGATTTTAAGCACTTAATGTAGTATGATAGGTGTATAACTTGTGTTACTGTGTATTTCAGCTGATGTTTTGCAGGGGGATTCAAAATATGTTGAAGGACTTTGTTTCTGTCTTTATCTGGGTGCTCTTTTCCTTGTAGGTCTGGAAGACGTAAAACTATGATGTGCTTTCTGATATTTGCAGGATTTGCCTGTATGTTTACCATGTTTTTACCAAAAAACTCTGGTAAGTATGTAGTGCTGCTAAAGTAGGTATTAGTTACATTGTTTTGTCAGCTTTTATTTGAATAATGACTGTTTCCTGACTCTCCCCTTCAAGGCTGGTCAGGTAGCCAGGGTCTTGTCTGTATTGCTTTTTGTAGACATAATTAGCCCTTACTAGGACCTGTTAATTGACTACATTTGTCTGACTCCAAGCTCTTTGCTCTCAGAAGGTCAGAACAACCTATCATGTTCAGTTTCAAATATGACACTGCATTCATTCATCCCTGTTAATCAATTTACCTTAAAATGTTGCTTTTAATAACAAGACTGCAGGGCTATAATTTAGTTAGATCTTGATGGTATGAGACACCAAGGTTAATTTTACATATTTTCTAGTGGCATGCAGTGTTTTTAGAAATATGAGAGTGAACATGAAAGTGAGACTTCCCTGAATTAAAAGCTTAACTCATCACTTAAAAAGATAACAAAAACAAACAAACAAACAAAAAAAAACACAAAACAACCCCCCCTAAAGCTTTGAAAAAAACCAAACAACAACACACTTATTTTGTATTTGGAACTTAGAGATGGAGGTTGCAATTGCAGTATGGAAGCCATGGGGTGGCAAGAAACTTGCTGTCTTTCTCAGCTTTGTACTCTACTCCTGCAATGTGCAGTTGTGAGGACAACTTGTGGTAACAGAGTATTGTCAAATATTTCTGATCTCAAAAGTTGTCTTTTTTCTGTCATCATCAGTGACCTTCATGGATGTTTTTTTTCTTTTCCTGTGTCTTTCCTTTTGAATGCATTTGTTCTGTACTAGTATGTACCTTAACCACTGAAAATGTAGGTCTAAATGACTAATATAAGTGGCCACTCAGATTCTGTTTTTCATAAAAAGTAGAAATGTTTTAGCTTCACCATTAACTTCACTGTTAACACGATAGAGCACCAGTGATGTGATTACAAAGTAGGTTTCTTAGGTTGTGTTTATCTTTAACAGATATAAATGCTGTCTGACATCCACTTCAAATTAACTGCAGAAAAGTGTAAGAAAAAAAAAACATAAAAAATATCTTGTAATCCTATTTGCCATGCTTGTGTGAATTGAAATCCTCAGACATTTTGTTGTTCCTTTTATTGAGACCATCTTTTCCCTGCTCATATTTCTCATTATATATTAAAAAAAAAAAAAAAAAAGGGAAAGAAAAGCACTAGTGACTAATCAGGATAGGGTAGTAATTGATAAAGAACTGCTAAATTCCAGGAAATTGTCTTTTTTTTTTTTAGTTGAGTTGACTTTAATCCCATTAAAAGTTCTTATTTTCCTTTGTGGTAAGAGTAATCCTGGTTCTTGGCCCAGAATGATCTGTATTTCTCAAGCAGAAAGAAATTCATCTCTGAGCATGATGAAGATGAGTCACTTCCGTGGATGCAGTGAGGGTTCAGTGATACAAATATCACATTGGGAGCTGCTGAGGGAGAGTGGCAGTGAAGGGGGAATTGAGCTGGAATGTTATTTTCTTTCAAAAGCTGCTGTAAAGCAGGAAGACTTTTCCATTTTGTGTTGCTTTATACTATAGTAGACAAAGCACACTCCTAGCCCAGGGCTAACTCACTTAGAATTTACCTGGCTGTACTGAACACAACCATAACCTTTGGTGACCTCCGTTGATATGCTTTCGACTGAAGAAAGAAAGCTTCCAGTTCTTTAACTCAGTTTTGTCTCAACCTCTGTTGATGTTGGGTACTTTCTTTTGTGCTGAGAACTACCCTTTCCTTGTGGATACTTTTTCTGAAGTAAACTTAAAGACTCCTTTAGTCCTAAAGTGCTGTTTAACTGAACTTTTTCTGATAAAGATGACATCCCGAGTGAGAATCTACAGTATGGCACTGCAAATGAGACTTAGTGACATCGATGGCATCAAACCCTGATCACTAACTCCTGTTCTACAAACTCTTAAACATCAGCACTGTTTTGTTACCATTTTTCCTCACTTTGCTGCCCTATACTCTATAGATCAATTAGTGGAAAATTAGTCTATAGAAATAAACTCAAATGCTTGAATTTAGTCAGAACTTGCAACTTTGTCTTTGACCGAAGTCTGGAAAAGTTGCACCAACTGCTGTATTTCAGACAAAATTGCATACACATTGCTACTACTAGACATTCAAGTGAGAGGATATTATACAAAATAGAATAGAAATGTTAAAGAAGCTGCACTGATATGCTTGGCTGGATCTAGCAAATGACCTTTAAATAACTGGTCGCTGGAATCCCCATAGGAGAAGAGTGCATTCCTGCTTAGTGGTGTTACATATGTAGAGAAAATAATGGAGTGTTGCGTAAGAGTTGCTAAATATATTTTTGCAGTGAGGAAGATGCAACAAATGTCTGAGCTTACTTACAAAGGATGCTGACGTGCAGTGAATTTACAGCGTGCTTCTAATCCTGCAGTAATTCCCCATGCAGACAGCCTTCAGCCTCCCCTAGGGGAGTGAATGTGGAGAAGAAAGTGCACTTTAAATTCACTCCTGAGCTTCTGGGTGCTAATTTCTCTGTCTAGACAGACTCTTTTTTTCTGTTTTGATAGTAAGACCAGAACTTCCTAAGTGCACTAATGCTATATTTCGAATATGTATATGGATATACAGTGTTTAACTTAAGTCTCCCTGGGAGAGAAGCAGTACGTTTTAAGACACATTTGAGAATTACAGATCTCTTCTTCATTGCTTCATGTTTGGTTGATGAAAGAAAAGGTATGTCCCAGCTTTCTGATGGCAGCCAGCAAGGCTTTGAAGAGCAGCTTCGCAGCATTGCATTTGGCAACTGTATGTAATACTTGAGTTCTCACTGAGCAAAATGAGAGCTTGGGTGAAAAATATTATATCTGTTTTGCATGAATTATGGAAATAACTGCAAAAATGCATCACACAAAAATTAAATCAAGCTTCTGGATTTCAGTTTACATACAAATGAATTTGTGCTGCAGTTGAAATAAAATTTGATTTGATCAGGTGACTAGAATTGAAAATATTCAAGGGAAAGATTGCAAGGAAAAACAATAGAGAAGCAATACGACTTTCACATTACTTAGCATCATTTGATCCAAAGTGAAACGTACGCTGAGCTCACTGCTGGGGAAGAGAATCTGAAATGCACCTGATCAGAGCATTCATCCTTTTTCAAGTTTAACAATAAAAAAAATAAATTCTCTACTTTTTAAAATAGGTAGTACAAACATGATCATATTCAAAGTCATTGTAACTGAAATCAGGTTTCTCCAGAACTTTAAAAGATCCACTCTGGTTCGGTCAGCTAAAGGTTGTCTTACGAGTAAAGGAGGCTGCGTTAGCATTCATTCTTCAGAATTACAGGGCTGCTGCTTCTCAAGTTCCAACAAGATGTCCCCGGGGAGCAGATAAGCTTCTGAGGTGAATCAAGTTGTAATGGTTTTAATTTAATATATTAGTTAAGGAGCTTTTATTGTCTGTTTGTGCTTGTCAAAAGATGCAATTATGTGGTAAGGTTTTTCTGTCTGCGGAGCTGGAGGCCTTTCCTTCTACAGCTATGATAGTTTTTAGAATCCACCCACCCCTTAAAAAATAAATAACTGGTGCTTGTCTTGTCCCTAAATATACGTTTACATACTTGTTCCTCTGCTAGCTTTTATGCTAGTTGGGAAGAAAAGAAGTATGGTTATTTGTGTGTGTGGTTTTAAAAAAAAAGCACATATATGAAACATTGTTTTTGCATGAAAGTCTCTTAAAAAGGACCAGATGCTTTCAACATTGTGTAAAAAGAGTAAGAAAACAGACTATTTATATATTATTTTTATAAGATATCATTTTACATATGAGTATACTTTTATATAAAATATTTATGTATACATACATATAATCTATATAGTTATATGTATATGCTTAGGATTTATTTTCTTTTTCTTGAAAGGTTTGCTCCTCAGTCCCACTTTGTTAGCTTTGTGTGGAAAAATGATGGTCAGCGCTGCTTTCAACATTGTCTATATTTATACATCTGAACTCTACCCAACAGTATTGAGGTAACTGAACAGAGTTTGTAAGGAAATGCAAAGCCTTTCCATGCGCAGTGATCCTGATTGCTGATGTGATTATTTTTACCTGAAATATCAGTATGAATTCTTTCTTTAATTGAGACAGTTTGTCTCAGCTTGAAAGGGCTTCTCCTAGTCCTTCTGTGTTTTGCAGCAGTGTGCTTACTGGGGTGGTTTCTGGCAATTGCCACTAGGGCTAAATCAGAATTTTTTAAAAAATAAAATAAAGGCTGCTTTATTTTTTATTTTATGCTCTGCAATGGTAGGTGCCATGTTTCTTATTTATGCTACTGATTCGGGAAGTAAAATTATAGGTTGCAGAACTGAAGATAATGATGTGATGGAAGTGTATGCTAACTTAATTACAAATACAGAATGTGCAGTAAGGACTATTTACAGTACTTCTGTGTACTTAAATTTCCAACATAATTATGTTTGTTTGCCTCTTGAAAAACAAGTGCTTTTATATATCTCTTAATTAGGTATTCATAATGCAACTCATTTGATACTTTCTGCATGGCAATGATTTGCTTTATAACATTTAATTCATGAACAAGTGGGCTAAAACCTTACTTTATTTTTCATGTTCCTAATAAACTCTGTAAGGCTGAGCTCTCTCCTTTTGTCCCGAGATAAACCTGAGACAGGAAAATAAATGCCTCCCAGTCCTGTTATCCTCAGCTGCCATCTCAGCTCCATGTGGTTTTCTGAATGATACTCCAAGTACATGTTCAGAGTTTGAGCCATATTGCACTAGTGGCTCAAAAATAGCACGTTTCAAAAGTTGAGCATTCCTTTCAGAGAGAAGGAAAATGAAATGCTGAGTGGAGTAGGAAGGTGTCCTGGCTGGTAGATGCATCCTCTAGCATCTAAGAAGTATTTCTAAGGATGGTGACACCCATCACTTGATTGCAGGAAACTAGGGCCTTTGTGGGGAGAGGGGCAGGGAGAGTGGGAGACTGCTTGGATTGGCTTTTTATTTCTTTTGAAGTTCACCATTTCCCATATGTTACAGAGGCTAGACTGTGAATGCAGTTTTTGCAATAAAACTTGTGAGGGTGGAGGTGGATTGGCTGTTGCTAGCTACTCAGCTTGTCATCCTTGGCAAAGGTTTAGGTTTAATACGCGTCACAAGCATGCTGACTGAAACTGGATTTGGAGGTTTGCTTGCATTCTCTCAATCCAAACTTCTGTGTCCTACTAAGGTCTCTTTCTTGATTTATTTTAAATTATTATCATTTTTACTATTTTTGTTATGTTTTTACTATTATTATTTATTTTTGTTGTTTTTGTTTACCGTCACCTCTGTTTTTCTGGAGTTGAGAATTGAGAATCAAATCTGATTTTAATTTCTCAGCTTTTCTTTGTTTCACTGTGTAATTTATGTTAATGCCTTCTTAAGTTCCTTTGGTGTTCAAGGCCAAGTATTGTACATGTCTAACTCATACCTAGCTGGAATTGCAGTAGTGTCTCAGCATCTTTGAAACTAGATGTTAGTGATGAGGATGTTTGATTTTTTTGTTTGTTTGGTTTGGCTTTGTTAATCTGTGGAATTGCTGCTTCATTTGAGAATCTGCACTAGTATTGTGGTATAAAAGTCACTGCGTGTCAAAGATGTGGAATGCTAGTAGGGGAAATGTGAGAGTAAGTTCAGAAAATCACCAGCTTCTTTGAGACAGATTGTGCTTAATAATATGAAAAACTAATACGTTAGACAATATGAAAATTCCCCACATGTGGCACATTATATATTCAAAAATGTGTTTATCTCTCTGGTATTTTAATTAACTACAAATATTAGAGTTAATGCAAGAACAGTGATTGGAAAATGGTTAATTTTAAGATAAAACATCAGCACCATCTGGTGGTCTTTGTAAAGCTTTGTAGTGATCCCGGCATTCCTCCAGCAGGGAGCCTTGCCACGCCATGCGATGAGATGTGTCCCATTTCTGAGGTAGAAAAGAGGAGGTGGAATAAACTGGTTTTTTTTTGTTTTTTTTTTTTTTTCCAATTGGATATTCTACGGAGAAGTTGCATGTCTTCAATAGTACGGCTCCTTACTTAAACCTTCTCATTACTCTAAGCCTGAAGACTGTGCTAGACGTATTTTTTTCCTGATATTTGGTACTTGGAGGAATGAAAAATGCATCTCGTGCTAGAAATCAAGTGCTGCAAACTGAAGTGTGTGCATGTTTGGGGCTTTTTTCCTCCCTTCTTAATGTGTCTTTACAATACCTGTTGGAGAACAGAAAGTTAAAAATAGAAATAATCACTTCTGTTTTTTGAGCAAAAAGGAAGGTTATCTTGCAGTGTATGGAAACAGAATGAAATCATAGCTCTAGTAATAAAGATGTAAATCACAGGGTTTTTTTTTGTTTGTTTGTTTTTTGAGAAAATGGTTGCAAAGTTATGCTATCCTTGTACATAATGTGTACAATCAGAGTGGGGGCACTGAACTGCCTAGGATATCATCAGAAAGCGTATATGCTTATTTTCACTGCAGGGAAGCTAACATGTTCTTTATTTTTCTGTCAGTGGTTCCCCTTCTGGTCTCTGGCTTCCTTCGCAAGGAGCGTTCAGGTGAACAATCCTTGGTAAGCACAGTGCAGTGTGTGAGCAGCAGACAGACTAATGCACCTGTGCGGGATTGTTCGCTGTGCAGGCAGTGCTGGCGGAGCAGCGCAGCTAGAGGAGTGCTGCGTGGCAGATGGAACTAGCCAGGCAGCTGCAGCAGGACTAATTGGCTTGAGCAAAGCCCTGGGCTGATGTGATTACCCTGGCTGTGGAGCTATTTTGGCAGGCATTAGTTCAGCGCTGAGCTCCGTGGTGTGGTGGGAGCGAGGGCAGCAGTCAGGGTTAGCAGGGGAGAAGCGAGGCACCGAGGTGAGAGCGGCGGTGGGTGGGCAGCTGCGAGCAGCTCAGCACCTCCTGGATGTTTCCCACAGCTCTTGAACAGGAATGCATCTTTCCTTTGCATTGCCATAACATTGTTCCGCATAGCCCAAACTATGCTGGGTTCTGGGGTAATTATGTCCCAAAGTCTTCTAACAACTGTTTTCCTTTCGCATTGGAATTCAAACAAAATGTTTTGCTTGTATGATCACCTTTTGCCATGCTTCCTCTCAGTAGGAAAAAAGTTGGCCTATCTCTGGGTGTTGACAGACTTAGGGTTTGTGGGAAGGATGCTCCTAAATGGATGGTTTGGATTACTGACTGGAATCTCTCATCTCTTAGGGACTTTGACAGAGGGGAGGAGATAGGGCTTGTCTTTTGGGGTTTGGATCAATGTTGCTTCAAAGTGAGGAAGTGTGGGTTGCTATTTTCCTTTTCCCAGGAGGATGTGATGAGAGAATAGAGAATAGGTTGCTTTTCTATTTATTGTTACACTCAAGTCACTAGCTTTTCATCAGCTCCTTCCATCATCTGTTTCCTGTAACCCGTGCAAAGGGCCATTAGGAAGGGTGGTGGATGTGGGTGGTTTTGGTGCTCTGGTGACCCATGTCACCTCTCTGCTTGTCGTCTTTTATCTTGGCGCTGTCTTCCTGCGTTCAGAGAAGGAAAAGGAAATGGGCTGAGGGGGAGAAGATCAGCTCAGTCGTGTGAGAGGAAGAAACTGGGAGATGTGGGAAGGAGAACAGCTGCTGTGAGCTGGTTCTCGCTATCCAGCGCATGAGCGCTGCCAGTATCAGTCTCTGAAGTAAGAAGATTTTTAGGGGTGATACAAACATGGAAGATTTCTGCATTTGATCAGCAAATGAAAGGCTTTGGGGCTTTTTGTCCATTTCTTAAGGAGGACCCTGCCATTCTAAGCCATGCTTTATTATCATTTAGTCTAGATGAGATTAGTTCAAACCTGCCTGAAAATGGAAGGTTGTGCAGAATTCAGCAGTTTATAGTGACACATCCGGCCAAACGTTTTCAAGCTTCAAGGTAGCATATACTTCTTCTCTGTTTGGAGGTGAGCACTGACTTTTCATCTGTTTAACCTGAGGCAACAGAAGAAATAGGAGATGCCACTTGGGTTGTTCTGTCTGAAGGTCCTGCCAAATTGTGAAATCGTTCCCCATCCAGCACAGGGATGTCCAGTTATATTACCCTGTATGGTAGGCCGGAAAACTGAGCTCTGTTCAAGCTGTTGTGAAGGAGTGCTTTTTGTTAGGGTTTTGAAAGGGTGTGACGGACCTTTTAGCAGTAGTAGAAGATCTTGAAGTAACTGCTGGATGGCTTTAAAAACTTCCTTCTTTTTAATTTTAATACAGTCAATAACAAACTAAACAAAACACAGGTCATTTCTGACAGAGCTACCACATGTTGCAGTTCTGTATTCTGAAGCTACGTATCTTTCATCCTTTGTTTGAAACAGAAATGCTGGCTTGGGTGTCTGTTCCATGTCTTGCAGATTTGGAGGCATTCTGGCTCCATTTGTGCCATCTATGGTAAGACTGATTTTAATTTTTACGTAACAAATGTGTTAGGTTCTCTCAAAAGCATGTTGCTCATTTTGGTACCACATACGTCTATGTTGCATGAAAAAATATTTTCAAGAAAAAAATAAATCAGCTTTTAGAAATAATGAACAAGATGTTTGAAAATACCTAGTGTATTACCCTTTTTGGAAAGAATCTAGTTATTCTGTGTTGTCTTAATATTTCATCTATTAGTGAAGTGATTATCATGCAATGCTTTCTGTACTGCTAATGCCCACTCTGTAGCTGAGTGCTTTTAGCGTGTAAACAATTAAAGTTCCCATGAAGCTATTTCTGAGAAATGACATTTATTGGGTTTCTTTGTTCTATTAGTACATGGATAATTGCACACATGGAAGAGTTTCAGCTTTTCAGTGTTGACTGCAGTTCACATGGATCATGTATTTTAAGAGCAGGAAATTGTGATGTTTTTCTGTCATGGATTTTTAATTTCAGAAATCTCTCAGCCCTTCTGTACCATTGGTGGTGTTCGGAATCAGTGGGCTGTCAGCAGGATTCCTCACTCTCCTTCTACCAGAAACACTGAATAAGCCAATTGCAGAGAGCATTGAAGATCTTCAGAGTCCCAAATACAGAGTGCTTATAAATGAAAAGGCAGAGTATTTTTTTCTGTTGTATTCCATTTTTCTCCCTTTATCTTACGTAAACCATGATTTAGCACATATTGCTTAGGTTGTGCCTGAATGGACTTGCACATGAACATTTAAAAGCCATCTATCTCTCACATTAAGTGGAGATGAAATTTATTCTTTTTGCTTGGCTTTTAAAGATGAGAAGGCTAGACACCTTCACACACACACACACATATATATATATATATTAAATTTTATGTAAATCAATACTATTCTGTTTGCTTAAAGAAAATCAATTTTAAGGCAATCTAAGATAATCAAGGACATCACATTCAATAACATGTCTGTACTCATAGTAAAACAACTAGATGTATTTTAAATTACTGGATTGTGCCTTTTTCTCTGTCGTGATTTGTAATGGAATATAATCTAGAATTAATGTGTATTTGAGGAAATGTTTAATCCATTATTAGTCCTCTTGCTTAGAGCCATTTCAAGCATTTTCCCTTTGTAGATAGGCATTAAATAATCGTTTGAAATGGGAAATTGAAGTTTTGTTTGTTTCAACAGGCAACAACCACACAATAGAAAATGGGAGGTATATCTACTAAGTTGGGGAACAGCTTCATAGAGGAATTATTTTTTTAAAAGAATAAAAAAATAAAAGAATTTCCTGTAACAAAGAAATCATTAACTTAGAACAAAGGAGGCTTAGTAGAGATAAAAAAGAACATGTGTTTTCCTTGTGGTTTTTCTTTGTGGCAGTTTGTTAATTATCTGGTTGTTACTATATTCAATCAGTTCAGTCATATTACCCACAGTTTATGCTTACTGTATCTTAATCCACGTCAATACTGCATACAGCTGAAATGGGGGAAAAACTCATTTCTGTGCTTTTTGAATGTCATTTCACTACTTATTTTTTTTTTAATAATGGATTCTGTTTTTCACATTTCATAGCCTATAAAATTGGACAAGAAAAATAAGACATAATCGTTTTTTCAGTAATTATTTTTCCTGTCTGACAGGCAAACCAGCTGGAAGAAAGCACTTCAGTTTCAGAAGGTCTCCCTGTGCTGAAAAAATGAGGCCGCCACTGAGAAGGTGCTGTAACAGCTGAAGGGCAGAGTCTTGCTGTATATATCGGAGTGGAAAAGTTGGAGGACTCGTGTATAATGCTGTTAATAGCATGCTGAACAGTTTTATGTGAAGGCAAGGTGAGAAGATGGAAAAAGTTGATCAAAGCTTGTGAGGAAAGAAGTGACAAATCAGTGCTTTAACATAATGACTTAACAAAACCATACTTTGGATGTTTGGACTTCTCTATGGCTTCATAAATGAATAATTAAATTAATTTATGTTACAAAATATAACTGCTAGCTTCAGATAATAAAATGTTGCAACTGAAGTGATGTGTACGATGTAAAATTTAGATGGCCTTACATATTCACACAAGCTGTAACGGTCAAAAGTAACAGCAATCTTGTGTATGCTAATTTTCTCTACCGGGTTTTTGCCTGTAAATCACAGTATACCTCATTGTGAAGAGACCAAAGATTTTCATGTAGTTGGTCTTTGTATGCCTAACATAGGAAGCCTGAATAGGAGATCTGAAAGGAGAATAAATGGGTTTCATTGTGGGAAGAAATATTTTTTTGATACAGTTGAACATGAAAAGGCATGTAAAGTTAAAATAACGCTATATTGGGAAAAATGATGTCAAGCCTTTAAGATGGGGAGAAGGTGCACTTAAAGGACGGGATGAGTAACCTTTTAGTCAAAAGGTTATTAGCTCTAGCTGTACATGTGGAACTGGAAATTAATGAATGTGTCATATATTGTATAATATATGTAATAATATATAATCCCAAATTATATGAATTTCCTATGTGACATTCTTTCAAGGGGGAGGATAGTTTGCTTGTCATTCAATATATTTATGTTGGAATAGGTATATCATAAAGGTTACAGTTACGACAGCCAATGCAATTTTGTTATTTAAAAAAAAAGTTTACTGTCGGTATTACAGAGTGCTGCTGTCACAAGGACGTTTACCAAGGCATTTTGAAGAATACTTTTATCATTTTGGTTTTGGTCTATTATTTAATGAATCTGTAAGGAAAACGTTACTAAAAAGCTTGTGTGTTTTGAGCAAGTTTCACAGTTAAATAATAGTTCTGCAAATAAGTGCACCCATACAAGTATGGGTGCATTTTACGTATGTATGAATATAAATGTACATGCGGATTGCTCTGCCTGGATGCCTCGCTGTACTGCATGTAGGTTATCTGTGTGTGCTTTACAAACAGCCAGATTAGGTCCCCACGAGGTGAAAATCAACTGGCAATCAGAACACCTAGATAATGTTGACATAAGGGTGGATTGCGTGTGCATTTATTTATTTTCTGGGGCTGCAGCTTGATGGCAAACAGCCTGTAGAATATGCTGCAAACTTTTATCATTTATTTACTCATCATTTTTGTCATGTTTCACTCTGAGGAACTGAGTTGATTTTTTTCTTGAATAAAATTAATGCTTTCTGTTGCATTAACATTTATAATTATAGTGACTAATTATACCTCTTCTAAAGATAATTGGGTCAGCAGGGATATGGTAAAAAACATCATCTTTGGTTACTGTTCAATTATTTTATTATAACTAACAAAATTTAATATGGAATAGAACAATATACAGTTGTATTCCCAAAGCAGAGAGAAGACTCTGGAGCAGAAGGATTGTGAAGGATTATGTGGTGAGAATCTGTTTCTTCCACATTAAATAAATCAGCCCATACCAGAGCTTTTTTCCTCTGCTGTTTATTCCTGTGGGAGAGGGGGGAGTGAATGGGGTGGGAATAATGGGAAACAAAAACCAGGAAACAAAGATCATTTGCATTTTGAAGTGCTTATTTTCTGCTTCATTTCACCTGGAATTAATGATTTCTTTACTTAGTGTGACTTCTGTGAATTTGGTGGATTGACGACCTACCTGAAGTTCTTTTTGTGTGTGTAGGCTGTTTGGATGGTTTGGTACTTCATCTCCAGCATCCAAAAGAGAATATGAAGGGGAACATCAACTCCCATTTTTGCATCTTATCTTTTGAGTTTAACATGTGGTTTGCATTTTTAACTTTATATATCCTTTCTACATTTTGCTATTGTTGGATAAAAAAAGGTGCTATTGGGGGAGGATGGGGAGTGTTTTTCCAGTCATATGTTTATAAATAGAGAAATTATAGCTTTATTAAATGGATTTTCAGTTGGATTAATGTGATCAGAGTATTAGACTTCACAGGGTGCTAAAGTTAGGAAACCAACTGTTTCCTTACTTTTCGTTACTGTATGTGTCACAGCAAATCAAAATGGCAGCATTTTTTAATAGGTATCATCCCTTAAAATTTCTGGACTTGTAAAGTTAGAAATTCTTCATTTAGAACAACTTTTCCCCATTAGTTTTAATGAAGACAAAGCATTTTTGGTAGGAATGTCCTACTAAATTCTATACGCAGTGTGGGACTATTATCCATTGCTTTCCATTTCCCTGTAAAAAGAACACAAAGCTGAGTTAATTTAAGTGGCTTAATTATACACATTAGTTCACAATCCCCATCTTTAAGTATCACTTTTAGCTCTTCTCCTGCGCTTTATTTGTGTGTAGAAATTCGAGTATAATGTTGCATCTGCACTGCTCATCTGTTTCTGTGTTGGAACAATGTCTTCAGCATTTTAGCACTTAGTTGTGAAATTGCCCTTCTTTCTGTTTGTCTCTAAACTGATTTGAAGGTTTTTTTTGTTTTTTCCCTTCAGCATCTTCCTGCTCTTACTGTGTTTCAGACAAAAGCCTTAAAAACAATATTCATTTATTCCACCTACGTTTTGATGCCATTTCACTGTCATTATGCATTCTTTATCCTTAAATTCTTGGTCAAGTTTGGTCAAAGTGGTCAGGCAGTGGGACTCGAAGAGAATCAAAGGTCTCTTCCAGCTGAACTATTCTATTCTAGAATTTAATCCTTCGGTTATCCAGTAAAACAAACATGGTGCTGGTGAGTGAGAGCAATCAGAATTAGTTACAAAAAGAATATTAATTGTACGTATTGAAAAATATTTTCTGTTTTTTCTTCTAGTTCATACCATCTTGTTTCACCTTTTTCATTCCGTGGCTATCCTGATGACCGGCTCGCTGTGGAACAGCATTTCCCTAGCAGGCAAATATCCTCTGTTTTACTTTCTCATCAGCCAGCAATTCATCTAAACATCCTCCTCCCCTTCCCCCCATCATTTTTTAAATCAGGTCAGGTACAAAGGTAGGGGTTGGGTTCCTTTTTCAGAAAAGAAAACTTTGCACAGTATTCATGTTAAGCTCATCTGAGTGATCTTTTCATTATCTCAGTTGATGTTTCATCAAAGCTATTTCCTCCTTTGCTGGAGCACTGGATGTTATTGCTTGAAGTGAAGGCTATAGATTAATTTTTAGAATTTATCCTTTTTAATCTGAACAGTGAAGTACAAATAATCCTTTGCTTTGTTGACTAATACTCTTGCAGCTAAGCAGCAGAGAAAGAAGGAGGTGAACTTTTCACACTACCATCTGTAACCAGCTGGTTCTGCCATTCAATTTGAGTTTGCTTGAGGCAAATAATTGTATTGTGTATTACAGCATGCAAGAGATCTATTTTTTTTCCATGCAGTGAGTTAGCAGCAGTTCATTGTGAAGGTCATCTTTGCATCACTTACTACAGGAGATGTAAAATTTCTTAGAGTTGATTTTTGATAGATGCAATCCTTCCATTAGAGTTAAATTTCTGAAAATAGTGGACAGACGTACAGCTATAGGCAAACTATACATAAATCTGGTATTTTCTTGCAGTAGCAGCAGTTCTTTCTACCGAGACTTCCAAGTTGGTGAAGGAATGTGCAGGCTGTATTATGTAGTGGGACTCCTGCTTGTGCCCACCTGAAAAGGGTGGTAGGTGACAATAGCTGGAGATGTTTGTGAGGGAAAGGGAAATATGGCTGAGAAGTCGATGGTGACTAGAAATTAAATTATGCTTCTAACTCCAGCACACTGGTAGTGTGATTCTGAATTATGTCAGGCCCATTTTAACTTGCTGTGAAATATTTCCAGTAATTTCTGTACTAAGCGTGGTCCTGTTCCTCTGTGAAGTCTCCTGGTTTAGAAAACAAGCTGCTAATAGGATGAATAAATCAGAAAACAAATGTTGGAGCAATTTCAGTAGCTTTTAAAAGTGCAGTACAACTTTGCCTGGACTGTTTTTGACAGTTTGGGCTGCAGCAGTCCAAATGGATGTGAGGCTGTTTTGTTTTGTAGCTTTTCTCCTAAAAAAGTCTGGGAAACACTGCTTCAGTGACATCTTCCCACATAATAGCAACCTAGTCATGCTAATGACAGGTAAGACTAAGTACATTGGTTGACAAGTAACTTCATCAATAACTTTGGGCACTTGGGCTGGCATTTTCTGTACTGGTTGGGCTGCCAGATAGCAGCATTGTCAACATCCTGCTGGCTATATATGTAAATATCCTTGTGATGAATGGCTCCAGGTAAAAACTGGTGATTACATGCTTTTTAACTCTGAAATTCTGCATCAGCAGCACCTCATTCCTTGGTTGTCACAGGTTTGCTCTCACATCATTTTCTACTTTCCTTTGCTTTTTTTTTTTTTTTGTATACAGTCCACAGTGATCAAATGCCTCATGGAATTTTCATCTGTATCTACATGAGAAGGAAAAGAAAGAGACTGCAGTATATTGCCCGCACACCAAAGGAAAGTAGAATCTGTGTACACCAAATGAAGTTACTCTGTATGTGTCCAGGTTGAAAGAAATAGCTGTTTCTTTTCACCATCTTCTATCTTGTGGTTGGGCAGGTTTATAAATAGTTGGTGTTAGTAGTCAGTGGCAGTTGGCTCTGAATGCTGTTGCCAGAGACCCAGCAACAGCGAGGTTACATCCTGCTCCTTCCACCAGGGTGTCTGCTGCAGCTCCAGAGGGCTTTCATCTGTTTTAAGTCCCTAATTTAATCTTTACAATAGTGTATGCTGTTGTTCATACAAATGTCCAACCCTTTTTTAAGGCCTACTGAGCGCTTGACAGCAAGGCTATGAGATGGCATTCAGTTCAGTGGTCTGTCATCATGTTACGTTTCTTTCCTTTCATCATTTGAGATTTGCTGCCTCAGTTGCAATGGAGATATCAGTGATTGGGAATAATGGCAGTGAATAGGAGTGTTTGACCTAAAGATACACCCTGCAATTTAGTGTTGTATGTGTTGTATTGTCAGGTTTCTCTTCTTTTGAAAATATTCCAATTATTTCTGTGAATGGATGCTTTTCAAAGGCCTCTCACTTTTGCATCTGCCTGTCTTTTTAAATTGGTAAGCAAAAGGCTTGAAGTGCTGGTGTGAAGAAACTCTCCAAGCATGTGCCCAGTTTGACTTGCACTAAGACCTGCTGGTAAAGCAGCAGCTGTAGCCTCCGTAGAAGGGGTCACAGCGACCGCTCTGACTCGCAGGAGCTTGTGCCTGGCTCTGTCTCAGGAAATGTCACCCAACCTCTGCATTTAATGGATGGCAACTCAATTCCTGAGCTGCTTTAATGGGGTTTGAGGTGTTTTTAACTTTCATGACCAGTTCCCTGGTGGGCACAGTGACCCAGATGGTTGAGGTTAGAGCTGGAAAGTGGCTCCAGCTCCTGTCACCCTTGCAATAGGCCTGCTTGCTAACGTGGGAGCTGCAGGTGGCTGGGCTCAGCTGCCTGCCGGGCTGGCCAGACCAGGCACCTTTTAATCATTGCTGTTTGGCTCTGTCATGGGGAGTGCCTGGGCTTTCCTGGGGATTGTGCTTTTGCAGAGCAATTTCTTGGTATTTAGCTTGGGAGGAATTTACTTCAGCTGCTTTTTTTTTTTCTTCTTTTTTTCCACTTTACGCAGCTTGTCAGAGTCCTTGGAGTGTAGAAATGGAAACACTGTGTGCATGCCCTGTACCACACTGCCTCAGGGACTGTCAGGGTGTAGGTATGTGCAGGGCCAGCTTGAAAGAAGTCTTCCAACCTGCATCTCGATTTGCAGAATAGTCAGTCAGCTGCTTATATGTATATATAGAGAGACGTGATCACCTCTCCCTGCTCCTCATCTGGAGGTAACCTTTTACATTTGACCTGGTAGTTCTTACATGGACGCACACAAGCACAGAACAAATAATAATAAAAAATAAATGCAGATAAAAGTTAGTTTTTGGAAACGAAAATGAAAAGCGAGGAGAAACAGTAACTTATGCAGGAGATGGTCATCTCTGCTGATGAATATATCACTGAAAAGTAAAACTGGCAGCAGACAGGCTCCTGTGATCATGTCTTAACAAATTGCTGATCTGAACTGGCTATTTATTATTTTAATCCTGGTGGAACACAAGGAAGGAAGGAAAATAATTATTAGTGACAGATTTTAGTTAAAGTTAATTTATTGTTAGTGGAACTAATGATGTGTTCCAGGTGTTCTTCAGTTTAACAATACATTTAACTATCAAGTGTTCAATTGTAATGTGGTTAACTGAACATGATTAAACTGCTGCATTTACAAACAGCTAATTATATAATAATTACACTCGTAGTGGGTTTCTAGTGTACTTTGTGACGGATATATGTGATTTTTAAAAAACTGCTTCCCATATGACTACCTTGCACTAGTTAATTTCCAGGTATGGAGTAAAACGCTTTGCTGTGTTATTAGAACAGAATTCTACCTTGGAAAAGTTGTAGTGAGATATTGAATTAATTGAT